GACCCAGTCACATCAAAACTCGCATGAGGCCATAAGCCGTCTACCTCGACGAGTTCAAATCACCACCTCCACTTAATCGCACTCACACATTTATAGCACATACACGCACTCACACGCACGTGCTCTTGCCCTTCTTGCTCTCTTTTCCCGGTCGATATGGTCATTACTTTGGCGTCTAGGCCTGTTGGATGTAATGCAGGAAAAGAAGCACTTTCGGCTCACAGTCGATTCGACGTTTTGACACCCGCGCCTCTTCTGCAACTACTCCCAGCCGTGTATTCTAAATTGTTCCCTAAACATTCTTAGTTCCAACTTCGCTCTGCTCTCTGTGCTAGAGACCGACGTATGGGAAGAATTTCTGTTGGCAGACGCCTGCTCGGGACAAATGCATGGTAATACTGCTCCAAACTCTAATTTTAGTAGGTTTCTGCATGCTTGAAAGGCGCAAATTTGAGGTAGGTCGAGTTAGGTATCTTTCGTTCGATGGCCAGAGTTAATGGAATGTAAACATTAGAATAGCACTATAAAACATTACTAATAGATCATGTGTAACTATTTTGTTCATTAGGAGAGCAGATAGTTTTTTTCGAAAAAGAAAGGTGTACTTACAAGAAATTGAGGAATAGATTTGGGCAATCCTAGGAATTGGCCAATGAAGATTGTTGTCTTATGCGGTTTGAAATTGGAGAATTAACAACAGAAGCTGGAAATGGGATATATTGGCTTTGGGGGCATTCGTCTGGTGATTTCAGTCGGTCTGCCTAGACCTGGTACGGACTACAGTCCGTAAGACGAATCATACTCGTAAACGAAAGCGCACACACATTGTGGCTGGGTTTCGTATGAGGACATTAACACATATTTGCATTGGCTAGATCTATTCATAGCACGCACGAACTTCGAGTCAGAAGAGATTCTTCCAGACTCGATGTTGTGAAAAGGGCGTTCGGTTCTTGCGCTGCCTTTAAAGTGTCATAGAGTGTTCAACCTCTTGCCATAAAAGCCATAGGATAATGGTTTCCCGAAGTCTGGGTCAGCACAACTGCTCCGGATGTCTGTCTGGAGGTTAACTGAGGCCTATTCTCTCTAAACTCTCACAAGTTTCGGCACCGAGGATGGGGAAAATGTAAAATAAGAAACCATTTTTGGCCAATATCGATCGAATCGAGTTCACGATAGAAGTGTGGCAAGCATTTGCAGAAGTGTATTGTATGATAAGTTCGGCTCATAGTTTGCAAGAAAGGAGAGAC